GACAGATGATACCACTAGACTGTGTATCGACAGTAAAACCCAGATGGGTCAAAGCACTGGTCACGGGTTAGGAGGAGGATAGTTGACTTAACTTATCAGACAACTGTCGACAAGTACCCAGAGCTTAACTGCCCCTCGATTGACCCACCATTCGTAACCGGCAACGTTATACATCACATCATGACCACAGGAACACCCGTAACTTACTCCTGACATGCTATGACTAGAGAAAGACGAATTTAACCACACGCTCATTCTCAGCATTATTTAATCTGAGAATTGCCAGTGGGAACCCCCACTTCAAATGGTACCTAGGAGAGATAGCAGAGATTGGTGACCCACTAGTGATTACTGAGGACTGGACTGCTATCCTTTACTGCATGTATACAAATTGACGGGAACACCATATAGTGCGACTATTGTCTCTAAAATAGACTTAGTCAAGGCTTACAACTAAGTTCCAATGGCATCAGAAGATGTTCCGACTGTTTGGACCCCTACGCATTTTATTCGGCCCCAAGAATGCAGCGTGAACATTCTAGTGTTTCACCGACTGAGTATTCCGTGGTCTCAGCTTCGTATACGCATACTTAGACGACTTCCTTGTCCCCCATCCAAACAAGGAAACTCATCTTAGACACTTGAACTTGGTTTTCGGTAGGTCACGCAGATATGGTGTTACTATTTATATCCAGAAATTTCAAATAGGAGCAAGATCACTGAAGCTTCTTGACCAGACCATTGACTGAAAGTGCATCCACCCACTGGCTAGTAAAGATGAGGAGATTTTGAACTACTCGGAGTCAACGAAGGCGGAATATCTCCCCACTTTTAATGGCTTGGTAAGTTTTAAACGATGGTTCATTCACAAATGTGCCTCCTTAGTTCAGTCGCTGATAGACTATCGAGAGAGTAATTAGTGCATCAACCTTGACGTTCCCTCTAGGTATACTTTATTTCACCTAAACTAAAGCCATCCCGTAAGTCAACCTACTTATGTATGTGGATCCATCTCATTCGATATATCTGACAACTCACTTGGTGTGACTGGGCAACAGCTGGTCGAAGAAAAGTGGCAATCAGTTGCCCTTATCACGAGGTGGCTGCAAACAACAGGAAAAAAGTACACCGCATTCGGCACAGAACTTCTGGCTATGTACTGTGCTATATGCCACCTCCAAGATTTGTTGGGGGGTCGTGAATTCATAATTTTCACAGACCACAAACACCCTACGTATCCTCTGAACCCAGCTTCAGGCAGATATCCACCACGGGAACCACGTTTCACAGTTTACAATGCACATTCGCCATTTATCCAGGATCATCAACGCTGTGGCAGATGCCTTGTCGCGCATCTGTTTCCTCTTGCAAATAGACATCATAGATTATGTGACATTGGATCATCTTCAAGAAGAGGATACCGAAAGTCAACATGGGTTGTCAACATCAACTCTGCAATCAGCCGAGAAACCGTTAGGCGTTGGTAGAGACAATATTCTTCCTAGTATTTCTATAAGTATTCCTCTTTACCCAGGTATTCGAACTATCACCAAGCTCACCATTAGTCGCAAAGTAATAAGATACAACAGAAGAGCCTTTGGTACTTGTCCTACCCGAGAATCCCGCTTTAAGCACGTTCATATAGGTTTGGATGTAACCCTTCTAGAATCTCATGGATATATGCATAATTTGATCTGCACTTGCCGTTTTGCTCCTTAAGGACGTATCTGCTGAAACAGTCGCATGCGTTTTCCTAGGACGACGGACGGCAAATTTTGTGCTCCCATCTTCCATAACGAGTGATCTTAGTTGGCAGTTCAACAGCGACTTGTTCTTGGCGTTGACTGAAATTCTTGGCTGCATGTGTTTCGAAACAACGATCTATCATCATCAAGCAAATGATATGGTAGGAGGTTTTCACAGAGAGTTGAAGGTTGGCTTACCAGCCGAGAACACTGCACACTGAACCGAGTCACTACCTTTAGTCCTCCTAGGTTTATGAAACACTTTGAAAACTGATGCTGGTCATACCTCTGCTGAACTAGCATGTGGAAGAACACTACGATTGTTAGGTGAGTTTGTTTCATCCTCCTGCTCCCAGCAATCTGAAGTTCACGCCTCGTACGTCTGCAGGCTCACCAATGCAGTGCTTTCAGTTAAAAAACCTCCCCTTCGACAACAGTCTCTAGACGTCTTTGTTCACTCAAGTTTGAAGACTTCTCCAAATGTATTTGTTTGCCGTGACTCTATACGTCACTCTCTGGAACCTCAATACGATGCACCATATATAGTCATTAAACATGCGGGAAAATTCTTCTGCCTAGATGACAAAGGCTACCAAGACCGTGTAAACATCAATAGTCCGGAACCGATCTACCTAGAGTACAATCCGATGAGACTTGAGCCAGTCTTTCCCACTAACACACAGCTTACTGAATACCCTCTGGTTCTCCAAGAAACGGCCAGGACGATGAAGGTAACCGAGGCCTCTAACGTGACCAAGAATAAGACACGTTGTCGAAGAACGGTGAGATTCTCATGTTTATCTTAGAGAAGAAGATGAGCATTACCTAATATATTTATTCCTATCTATATGGGACATTAGGGCTACATATAAACATTCAGTACCCCTTCTGGTACCGGAATGCAGTGAGGTTTCAAACAAACGGGATGAATTTAATTAAATATACTTTGCTCGAATAAAAATTCACTTCGTCTTCAGACCCTTGATGTGATCTAAGAACTCTTAATGAGTGGTCATCTGAACAGGCTTTCGTGCCATCTTTCCGGTTCTGTGCACGCTGTCAGATACCATCTCCCAATCATAAGGGAAAAATAAGTTGAGTAAACTTTTCTCAAAGTCACCTCAACCTTTGTTCTTTTCAAATACCTAGGTCCTGTGAGTGTACTTCCAAACTGTTTTCGCATTTGAATCCTGTTTTTGCTGGTAGTATTTGCACTTTAGGTACGATACTGGTTAGATGGGTGTTGAAGCGTATCGTCTCTAATAAGGCTTGCCAAAGCTGTAACTACACATCCAGCAGTATTTGAAAACCATACTTGTGTAGGTCTCAGAGATATTTTACACCCTAGTACAGGTGAATAGGCATGTAAATGTGATAATGTATTCCCCCAGGTCGTCAGCACTGTGAACTTGCTGCCTTCTGGATCTACGAAGTAGAAGTTGGAAACGTACAATCTAAAAACTGTAGATCGTAACTTTTTTCTGAGGTGTTCCATAGCTGATTGTATGTTCCTGTGTGGTTACGTGGTTTCTGACTGGTATCAAGCAGTTTTCCCTCAGGCTCTACAGTTAGTAAACACTAATAGTCTTCTTTTTTAGGCAATTCAACTGGAAGCTCATTCCCATGGCGTGAGCGAGGAAACAGCCACCGCTAAGACACCTTCAGAATCGCGGAAATTTGACCATAAGCCACAACTTCATCATGGGCAAAATAACCTAACAAAACCAAACGTCTACAAGGCCGATGTAAATGCCATTGTCTCAGCGGCAAAATCACAGGAATGGTACATGGATCCCCAATCTCACGTGGAAGACACTTGGAGCCATTTTAAATACCCGAGTAACCCAATCCTTCATCCCTTGGTCTGTTTCAAAGGGACGAAAACATTGTCCCCCACGAATAAACTGGGAGATTCGTGGATTGCGCAGGCGTAAGCATAAGTGCTGGAACCTGTTTATCACACTTGGAACTTCTGAGACCACAGAGTTGTGCACCATGACCAGAAACAAAGCTATCGCATGGATTCGTCAGTCAACGATGAAGTTCAAAATAAATCTTGCTCAAAATGTAGCGACACAGCCCAAGAAAAGCTTTTCGGACAAGGCGTTCAACAAGGGCTCAAAGCTGACTATTTATTATGACAGCCTTAAAGGAGCAGGAAAAAGCAGGGGTATTCGAAGGCTACTTCTCCAAAGTCCTCACCTAACACTCATCACTCCCTATGAGCGCCAGTCGTACCATATATCAGGGGAATACATAATGGTTTCATTGATATCACCTAAGACGTCATATTCCATCCTCTAAAGAAACTAGATGAAGGGAAGCCAGTGGGACTTGACGACCCTCACCCGAAGCCTCTTAGGGAGCTAGCAGCTCACACAGCCAGCCCGTTGACTGCAGCTTTCAAGCTACTTCTTGAACAGAGTTTCTGCGCGACTAGAGAGACTCCATGGTAACCCCCATCCACGAATTAGGATCCCAACGCTGTCCTTCATGTCTCATCAGCACTTTGATAAGGTACTAGAAAGAATCACTGAGAAAGGTATCACGGGACATCTGGAAGACAGGGCGATTACCTGAGCTCACCGATTATCCCACGCTTTTTTATGCAGTCGACATAAAAAACTGGGGTGGCGTGGCCATGACATGTGGATGTCACAAAGAGACAAAAAATTGTCAGGCTGGTCTGAATAGTGGGTGCTCACAATCAACCTAGCGACATGCGCAATAGTGCGCATTGGACACACTAGCGTCAACTCATAGTCACTAGAGGGAATAATATTCCCATAATTTCAGACTACAGAACACTGCTGCTCTTTATGGGTGATTCAATGAGCATTTACTAGAATCACTGGAGCGTGATAATGTGGTAATGTCAACTTCTTTATATACATAACCGGTCAGGTCGTGATTGGAAAATTACATGGAGACAGCCGGTTCTTGCCTCAAAGGCGACCAAGGCGTTCTAGAAAGGGTCCAAAGGAAGACAAGATATATGATTCCTCGCATGACTAATCTATCACACGAGGAAAGACTTGACAGAGGAGAGGAAATTTTATTACGATGTTTAAAATTTCAAATTATGAGTACGCACCTGATCTGCTTTCTCTTTTTCCCTTGCCACACTAGGTCGAAAAACCTCAGAGGATACAGCAGGAGAGTTCAAAAGCAAGGGAGGAACTATGTCACTGTGGAGCACTTGCTCTTTCTCAGAGTCATAAACTCCTGGAACCGATTACCTCGAACGATTCATTACACAAGGGTATAAACAAGCACAAATACTGATTCGAAAAAGATTAACATGGGCGTCTGGTTTTCTGTCCCCAGTTAATAAATCTGAAACCCTAGTTTTAAGTAATTAGGACCAAGAAGTGAAAGTGAGGAAATCAGTTGTCCCATGAAGAAAAGTTCAGGATAAAGTCATCTGAAAATCTTTAAGTAGAAAATGTCGAGAAACCTTCAACCTACTATTATACTAAAAGGGGATTGAAATTTGAGTATATTTCTGAACGTGTTCAGTTTGGAGGAATTTTAACTGAAAGTGCTACGTGGCGGAGATGTTGCTTGATAATGATACGGTAATTTCCACTATGCTTATCTGTGAATGTGTAGTTCCTTACATCACTACACAAGTTCTTTAATCAATCCAAGTCCAGTGGTTCTTTATACATAACGATGAAGAGATGTAGGTAATGCTTCCTGATATAAGCTGAAATGTCTTTTGTAGATGATGGTCGCGTTAAACCGATCCCAAAGAGGAGTCAGAAGGTGAAGGATACCCACGTCGCTTCAGAAAATAGCTGTCTCATTCGTGCTACTCTTGGGAACCAAAAAATCAGTACGGTTGTAAGTTACAGAATTTTGAGTACTCCGTTTTTCGGTATGTTGATACCATATTTGTGTCACTACAGCCCAAATATAGTGTCTTCACAAGGTTTTCTGTAAATCAATAGTGTATTATTATATATATTATGTATTATGGGACGTCTGCGTTACTTTGTTAGGTCAAATAAATGACAGTAGCTTTTATGTTTAAGTCACTAGAACTGCAAGCTGGTGCCTACGATTGTTGTAGTATCTCACTTCTATTGCTGTAAACTTATCGCTCTTTGTTGCATGATATGAGGTTCATTCTAAGTAAGTTGTAGTTTGCTAGGCCTCTAAAGCCAACAATGATCTGTTTCATAAGTCCTCATCATGTCTTAGTCGGTTGGATTGTGAAATTCTAGTATAGCTAACAAATTAACCTGAAATTTCATTGATCATCGGCATTTTATTTCACACACAATTGTCCGAGTTATTAATTAGTCCACCTGAACGTAACATACTATAGAATGTCCATGTAACGTCATCTTACATTCAACAAGGTGGAAGTACATTTAAAGCATGTGTTGAACCAAAACTATGCATTCTAGACTGCTCATAGGCAAGTAGTTACCTTCATCAGTAGGTATGCCGATATAACACTAGTGATTGTTTTCACTCAATCTGAACTCTCGGTTATTATTGAATAGCGTGATTTACTGGTCCTATTGTTTTTCCACAGTCTAATACTTCACATGGTTAACCAAGTTATTCTGACTACAAATACTGAAGGAAATTCATTAGGTAATTTGAATTTTATCGGTAAGCACTTATTCATCTAGTGCTCAAGCATATACTATTATCCTCTAAATGAGCACAGAAGAACTTGGTTACTTCGCCTATTAGTTGCAAATGCATGGACATTGTTTTCAGTTCACACTTTTTAAATATCTTTTATTCTTTGTGTGTGCGTATCATTAAATTTACAAATTGTTGTCAACTGTTTGTCCTTTTGGCACGTCTCTCATAACGTTAGCCTATCTTCCGATTAGCATCTTATGGCAGCCAAATAAGCGAGAGATGTGAGGCAAGTTGATAATATACCTCTCGGGAAATTTTCTCATCCAAATTATTTTGTTTGTATCTTCACTAGTAAATAGGAATAGGTAACCTAGCCGAAATTTGGCTTCTCAATACTTTTATCTCACAAGGCTCACTGTCACTATCAAATTTCGCTTTTGTAGCAATGTTTATTGAATAATATCAGCAAGGTATCAGATATAGAGTGCCATTAATACCACAAAATCATAACGAGCAGTAAAAGTAGGTATCGAAATTTTCATAATAATATCGGAAATAAAGTTGGTTTGTTTTTGGACAACAAGAATACAACACGTAGAGGGTTTTATCCCTGCTTCATACGAGAAATCTTGTAAAATTAGCAGAATACTGTTAATGAACTATTCATTTGGGAAATTTACCGTATTGAAGTATGCGAAGTGTTTTAAATTAAATACCCGAATATTAAGCATTAGTCTATATGTTTGGTTATTTAACAGTGAAATTAATTCATTAAACATACCAGTATATACTATCCTTATTTCCTTTATGGCCTTCGGTTAGATTTTGTGACCGGCGTCTATGACTAAGAATGTAAGGTATATAAGTGTAAAACTTGGGCACTGTGGTAGAGTATTACTCCATTATGGATAAAATTTTATTTTGATAAATCACGCAGTGTTGTACAGTAATATTTACTTAGGCAAAATGATGATCCTTATTTAGCGGTCAAAGTTATGGTATATTATACAAATCTTTCACTAGGTAGTAACCAATGTGTTCTTGATATCTTAAGCGTGTTGGTCGGGATCAACAGAAATATGGGAACAGCATCAGGTTATAACTGCTTGAATGAAGTAATGCTGGAGAATTATTAACTTCCATTTCGGCTGAACATAAACTAACATCTGTTGACTCTTTTTCATCCGGTGCATGGTTCTAAGGTTTAGGTCAACGTTTCACTGAATTTGTAGTACTAACTGATGCAGAAAACTAGTGAAAGCTTCTTGTGTGGACGCCTTGAGCAGAAATGTTTGGCATTCGACGCGTTCTTGTCAAATGTAAGGTGATGTTGCAGGACTGGACTACACCGATTCCTAGCTTTAAGTTAGGGAGTGAAGTCGTAGAGCATGTTGACTACTTCATTTATTTGGAAATTCGGATCGGACCTAAAGGACTGATTGCCGACAAAACCTCAGCATGAATACTAAAGGCTCATGTGACATTTAACAACTTAAATCATCTCTAGCGTAGATATGATATCTGGTGGTCGATTAAAGGACGTGCGTAATGAGCAGCATTTCCTCTGGCCTCCTTTATGGCTGTGAGACATGACCGTTGAAAGTGGGAGATAGGAAAAGGATAGCTGTCTTAAACTTCAAATGTTGAAGTTGTATCTCTCTTGTTTAGTGGTATACTTTGGTAATCAATATTGAGATTATGCATATAGTGTTAGGTAAAGAGGGTGAGTCAGTCAATGAGGTTGTTAAGCTACATTGACTGAGACGGTTAGGATATGTTGCGCCTACTGAACCACTATCTTCCTCGATGAACAATGTTAGCCGACATAAGATTGAGTTGGGAAACTTACAGATGGTCAAACGAAAACCTAGTATCAATCCATGAGGTGTTTGACAGTTAGTTTGATACACGTACAGAAGTGTAGACCACCTGTTTGTGGTCCTCGGGGTGCTTAGAACCGATGGCTGGAGACTATTGGTGATATGTCTCAAAGTTGTTCTCAATAGTGCAGATGTATTTACTCTTATTATCTCTCATATCCATTAAACCGTAGTGCTTTTCCATGTTTACTATTCTTAATCCCTCAATTTTCTGCCTATTATAGTTTCCCTGTACCTTAGTGTGCTACTTGAAGTGTGGGAACTTGTACTGCTGCACTTTTGCTCAAATTTCTATGTTGGAACCCATCACTAAGTGTGACATGTACACTACCTTGGACTAATGATATGTCAGTTTGAGTATAACTGTTTATACAGTGAAACACAACAAATCAGGAGAATTTATTTCATTCACGTTTCTCAATTTCATGTTTTTCACTTGGTATTTCGAAATAGTACAGGGAAGTAATTAAATTTCGGCTTTCAGCAGCAATAAATTAATTTAGATCTACACTTGCAATCTTGAAATAGCAGTCAAGGCATAAAGGTTAGCTCGTAAACCATTTTACTTTGAAAAGTAAACTCTCTAGTAGACTTAAATTAATAGGGTATTTGTGGTAGATAAACAGTTCTTTTTATGAATAGTATATAGGGTGGTGTATTAATTAAGCAGTTAGAATGGGATACCCTTAAATGTTGTAGAATTATAAAACTGTTCTTGTTGTTTAACGAAAACTGTGCTTGTAAGTAATTAATATTACCATTTTTAGAATGTAAAGCAGATTGTATTTAATTACATAAAAATAGGTTCATCAAAAAGATATGAATAGATTCAATCAGGCTTATTCCAACCTTTTGAAAGCTAACATTGATGGCCTGAAGAAACGTGACAAGCGTGTGAAGGCAACGAATTCATCAAGTAAAATCAATCAATCTAAAATGGATAAAGGTTAATATTTTGACGTCGTTTCTTGACTTTCACATTTAATATAATGTATTCATATTTTGCTTCCTGTACATAATACTGTGTCAAATGTTTCGGTTATTTTGGTGATATGATAATAAAAATGTGCATACTTTTGGTTTCTATTGTTTTATGAATTTTAGTACTTTGTCAATCCTTAAGTAAAACGGTTGAATCCATCTGTTTGGTGATAAATTATAAAGTGTATCTTAGAACTGGAGACGAATGCACTTCAGACTACCGTTGTCCATACTATATCCTAAACTTCTAACGGTTAAAGCTGTAGTTTGTATCTTATTTCACTGATTTCTGTTTTCACCTCGCTGCACTCATTACAACATGTAACTTTGCCAAATTGGTATTAAACGGTCTAATTCAGTGGTCTTGGCTGGATGTGTGAGACAGGGTATGTTATCTGGTGATTCAAAAAGTGAAATTCTATTGAAAACTCAGCTGGGTCCCTATTGTAATCACTTTAGGTTAAAATAGGGAAAACTAACATTATCAAAGTTTTGCGAAGCCTTTTTGTGCCCAACTTTTTGATGATATTATTATTTTATTTCTTCCTTCACGTCCCCAGTGGAACATAGGGCCTCAAGCTAGTGGCTTGAATTTTCTGTAGCAGTGTTTAATTTTACAGGATGGGGTTGCTAGCCTCATGCCCAACCTCTCCTCTTTACCAGCATTATTTTTGGCTTAGCGAGGTAAAGGCGTGCGTCGGCCGGGGATCGAACCCCGGACCATGTGCATGGTCGGCGAGCGTCCTAACTGCTATGCCACCGACGCACTTTTGATGATATTACGAAGTCTACATTTAGGATAGAAATAGCTAATTGACTACAATACCACACCCTGTGGAAACCGGGCTCAGTATTCAGTTTTCTGTACAATCAGTCTGAAAAGCTATTAACCGCATGCAACCGAAGCTTATTAAATGGCAGTGGATTTCTGCAGATTGATCCTAACTGACAGATGCAAGGAAACTGATTCTGACAGACTGTATATGACGAAGAGAAAAAGCTGTTCAGATATAAGCTGACTAAAAAGCCTCGCGATGACTGGGAACAGCAGAGGGCGACAGAAGTCCAAGAGACGGAAAGTGCATCAGCGGAAAATGATATCGGAGAAATATTTAGACACATAAGGGATGCATGTTTTACAAAAATCAGTTGTAAGTGAAATGATTTCTGAAAAAGATAAAACTGAAATTACTTCTCACGAGAAAAGACTGCAGGGAACATTATAAGTACTTCAACTACCCTGCAGCTACGAGGCATCCAACCTGTACTTCAATGGCATGTCGACATGGTCCACCATCTGCAACAGGTTGAAAAAACGATCTCTCATGTAAGACGAGGCAAAGCAGCAGCATCTGATACGATAACCCTAGATGTCTTAGTCATTGATTCGATAAGTTATATTGATCATGTCCTCACTCTTCGGCAGGTTCTGCAATACAGGTATACTTGCTGCCGTCCAACACTTGTTATGTTTAGTCGTGCTGGCAAGGGATTTTAATACTCAACTAGGGATGCTGTACCAATCCGAAAAGTATCGTGTGAGAAGGTAATTTCTAATGTCCATGCCGAGGAACCAACAACGGTAGTCATCTTTCGTAACTCTGTTCAGATAATATGTTTCTGGGCAGTACTAATCTCAAGCCCCTCAGGACTCTAAGAATCAATGGCTGGAGACACTAGGTAACATGGCTCAAAATCGTTGTCAATGGCGCAGATGTATTGTCTCTGTAATCTTTCATATTCCTTTCTACCATTACTCATTCTGTTTCACTCTTATACTTGTCAAAACTCTATTGATTCTCTTCACTCATTTTCCTATCTACCTTTGTGTACTATTTGGAACGTGGCAACTCGAACTGCTGCACTTCGGTGCCAAGTTCTATGTTGAATCCAGACAGACAGACTAATCTCAAGCAGAAGGGGAAACACTGTCTCACTTACCTGGCGACAGGCGATGGAAACAAATCCTTCATCCAGCTACGCGTTGATTGAAAGTCTTCGCAATGACGGCAGATCAGTGGGCGACGAAAGCGAAAAATATAGAAGCGTCCTCATCAACAAGCAGAACATATGTGCACTTTTCCAAAGTGTAGCAACGTAAACTGCGGCATTTTATACTGGGTTCTGTGTTCATATGTCAATCAGGGCTGTAAAAACCAATCGGCTGAAGCTATGCATTAAATAATTTAAAGCATAGGAGAATTTGGGTAATGTAGTAGAATATAGTTTCATGATAGATAAGTTTGTTTCGTTAAAAACAGTGATACAGTATTAACACCTCGATGGTGTTTCAAGCAAAATTTATTGCTCACGGATCTATTACAATCCTCACATAACTTTTAAATTTTGTTTATATAATTCCACCATTTCTTATCCCTTAATTTTATTGATAACAGTGTTTTCCATATTTCTGATATCGGTGTTGCGTCTTCACAAATATAAATTAGGGAGAATTAAATTTACATTTGAGTTAGAACAGGAACACGGAGAATTAGCCATGTTAGATTGTAAAATAAGACGAACAGGAGAAGGTAAATTATGTACCAACGTTTATAAAAAGCTAACACACACCAATAGATATTTAGACTTTAAGTCATCTCATCCGTCATCTGATAAAACAGGCTTGAATAACAAAGTAAATAACTTTTCCATAAAATTCTCTAGAAAGTTCCTAAAAGATCAGAATAAGAGGAAAATGTGGCGAGATTATTTAACCATAACTTAAGTAGGAAAGAACTTAAGACATTTCCAGTTTTACCATATACGGAAGTTACCTCCGAAACCCTACTTAAAATTCTTGATAAAGCATGAAACAGGGTGGCATTTAAACCTACAAACTCTCTCTCTCTCAAAGATGTACTCTGTAGGCTAAAGAATCCCATTAATCCGATTAGGCAAAATGATTTCATGTCCAAAATACATTGCGATGATTGAGGTCAACTACATAGGTCACATCAGGGACAGTCAGGTTATCGGAACATACGAATTTAGCTGAGTGTAGGATGATTGACCCCAATAAGATGAATAGTTTAGAGGAAAACTCAGAGGTCTCAATGCCTGCATTAACACACAGTCACACACAATTTGGGACAGCTGTAGTTGTCTTTGATCATAGGTGCCTGAGTTCTATCCCCCGTGTGAAGTGGTATAATAGGGTGAGCAATATTGAGGTTAGGCATCGGTCGAGTGCTAGGTAAAGAGGGGGGGAAATCATTAGACGAGGCTGTGAAGCTACATCGACTGAGATGGTTAGGGTATTTGGTGCGTATGCTTAGTCATCGCCTTCGTCGACGGGCAATGTTAGCTGACATAGGGTCAGTCTGGAAAAGAGCTAGCGGTGGTCAAACCAAAACATGGCCTCATCAGTCAATAAAATCCACAACAGTTAGTTTAAGCCAGTCATGTAGGAAGGTGTAGACATCATGGCCGGTTGGGTCCTCGGGACGGTAGAAACCAATGAAGGCTGGAGACAATCGGTTACACGGTGTTACAAATGCAAAGTCGGTCAATTAACTAAAGAACAAAAGGAATGACTAGTACAAATTTAGGTAGTCAGTACTGGTACAGCAGAACAGGATATTTACTGTGAATACAGACCAATTAGACCGAAGTGATTTTTGATAGGTGGCGTCCTTGTGTGTTGATAATATAATGCGTTAATACATACACTGTTCAAACAAAGTAGCTGATACTATTTCCTCGCTGAACTCTCTATGTTTAACTGACTTACTTAAACATATTAGACTGTCATTTTACAATACACATGCGCTAAATCCATATTACGGCAAACCTGAGTTTTTATCTTAAGGGACAAATCAAATATTTTCCCAAGGTAATCAAGATATTTTTGTTAAAATCAATCATAAATGAAGATATTTAGAATAAAAATACAATCGAACAAAGGCTCTAATCGAATAAGAAATTTCAACCGATAAAGAGGACTTGTGGGTCACTGATAAATGTTGTAAATTTTAAAGGTAATAACAACGAAAGCAATAATATCGATAATAGCAAAAGTGCAATTAGTTGAAGCAGGCAGCAATAAAAAACATGATAATGTAAACATTTCAATAATTAAATTAGGTCAAGAGGTTATACGATTCGAAGTTACGCAATGCTGAAAATGAAGTGAGTAGGACTGAATTCTTAACGTAGATTTTTGCACAAAACTCCAGGAGTTCGGTTTGCCATACTTCACCAAAAGAACAAGGGTGAAAATGAAATGCAAGGGGACTTTAAAAACCAAAATTTACAGGAGAAAGAATAAGTACGGGAAGAATAAACAGAGCGTAATGGACCTGGAAGATCACAAAGTGTGGATGAAATTGAACCATTGAGAATGGTTTCGAGCCATGTCAACACACCAACCATTGATTCTTAACAACTTGTGGACCCCAACCAGACAGTTTCTTCTGTCCCCGTTTATCAGACCAACAGTGACGCAATGTTTCCGATTGGTTGACTGTAGTCCTTTTCCATTCAAATATGATAAATATGTGAAAGGAGTAAAGAATAAGAGAGCGTGAGAAGTTTTAATGACCGGTTTGTTCAATAAATCTATCCAAGTTAAGGAAGAGATAAAAGTGGGCAAACTTCTTTTAAAGTAGCAGACTAGGCTACGAGTTTGAAAGGCTCGACGGGTTACCATAAATATCTATAAATGAACTTTTGTGTCCACTTTCAATCAAATTATTATTATTATATCTTTTAATTCCTAGAGGAACATAGGGCTTCAGCCGTGCGTCTCCACTGAGTTCGGTTCTCTGCTAGAGTCTTCACCTGGCTCCATGTCTGCCCACACGTTTTCATCTCCTCTTCACATGACCTCCTCCAAGTCACCCTTGGACGACCAACTCGCCGCTTCCCTTCCGGGTTCCACTAGAGCAATGGCTTGTCTAGTGATGTCATTTGATGGTTTCCTAAGTGTATGGCCAATCCATCTCCATTTCCTTCTGCATATTTGTTTCACAATCGGTTCCTGGTTGGTTCGCTCCCAGAGATCTCCCTGTTGCTGATCTTCTCTGGCCATCTGATCTTGAGTATTGAGCGAAGAAAACTGTTAATGAAGGTCTGTAGTTTGTTTGAGATGCTCTTTATGACGCGCAGTGCAAGTCTCTGATCCGTAAAGTAGCATGACTGACTTCACATTGGAGTTGAAAATCCGGATCTTATTTTTGATGCTGAGA